GCCGAGCCCTAGCTGTATGTCGCTCTACCCCTCGAGGTTGCCGTCGAGCGCAGCTGGTACAGACCGCACTGTCTGTAGTAAGCATGACTGCGTAGTCTGTCGCAGATGTCCGCGTGGAATCACACATTTCGGCAACATATAGTCGCGTACTGCATAGGCTACTACTATGTATGTGTATCAAATTTTTTGCATCATCAAAACAATTTATTCGGTACTCGTAACAACAAGTTGCACAGACAAATGTTCAGTTCTTGACTAATTATAGTAACGAGGATTCTAACCATTTGCAAGAGAAGTTACTACATCGTAAGTGAATTTATACTTGTTGGTATTGTAGCGGCGGGTGGAAAAGTGACCGGATAATCTCACTAACAAATAGATAGAGCAAATAATACGCAAATTTTCACCGATATAGGTGTACGGTGATTGTGGCAGAGCGTAGCGCAAGATTTTATTCGGAAATTGTTTGTTTGCGTAAGGAAACTCATGGCGTACTTTGCTAAAAGCACACCACGCCCTGCTCTGAATATACTAGACGAATCGTGAAAGCCAATATGGAGACTGGAGTAGTCAAGCATATCAATTGCCCTCCTCTTCTGCGACGAAGTTGTGTTCGTCGATCACCTCTTCCGGAAATTCCAGCTCCCAGATTCGCTTCAAATGTTTTCCTTTGACGTCACGAGGAGTTCCGAAACCTGTCATACCCTAAACAGCTTTTATACTACGAATGTTTGAGCAAACCAATGAGAAAGAAGTAGAAATCAAGATTTCCGCATACAGCTTTTTCAGCTCTAACTAAATAAACTCTGCTTTGTACATTCCAGAGAATTGAAAAAAACGCACTTTTTTGAATTTCTGTCAGGAATTCATAATTCGCAAAACCCCCGCATAACCGATGATATCGCAAGGATATCTCGCGAATGTGCAGCTAGGCAGCTATAGGACTATGTACTCAAGCGAAACCGTGGGTTTTTTCTGTAAACACTGTCACAAGAGGAGGCGCAGAGAGGAGGAAACGTTAAAAGTGAACAGCTCTCAACCCCGCAAAAGTTGTTAGTGACTGCATAGAACTTCTTGAAACTAACTTTAATCCGAGGTGAATAAGTTTATTTCGAAAAAGCTTTACTGTCACAAAAAGAATTCTTGTCTTTACCACAGATTTTGCATGTTATACTGAGTTTGCCTAAATCACACCTTCGAATTAGATTTGTGAAATCTCATTAGACTCGGAAAGTGAAGCAACAGACCGCAAGGCTGGACAAGAGAGAATCACGCGCATTCATTAATTCTCGC